AATGGCAAAATATGGGAAAAGTTTAAAAAAAATCCCAAACTATGTTTTCTATGCAACTTACCTTCAACTTAACTTTTTTCCTCACTTTTTTTCCAAAATGCAAAACCCCCAAACCAAATAAAAAAAAACATACCTAAACTGCCCTCCTTTACTTTTACTCTACCCATGTCTCTCTTCTATCCCACCAAAATAGGGGGCTCCGACAATGTGTAAATACGGTATGATAGTAGCACTTTGACATGTGTAAAATTTTGTTCGAGAGTAAGGCTTAGGTACTGTGTTAAGTGGGGTTTGGCAGTAAGGTTCAGGTACTGTGTAAAATGCAGTCCGACAGTAAAACTTCGGTACTGTGTAAAGTGCAATCCGACAATAGGGCTCTGGCATTGTGTAAAGTGCGGTCCTGCAATTGAAAAGGACAGTTGCAAAGGTCTGTCCGACGCTCCGACAATGTGCAATTGGGGTCCAAAAGTCAAGTCAGATCTGTCCAAAATGATTTGTGAATGGGAAGGGCCTCTCCGTCAAACTTTTTCCCTTAAAAGGTATTTATATAGAAAGTTTGTTTTCGGGAAAAAAGTGAGAGAAAAAATAAGGTTGGGGTAAGTTGCATAGAAAGTGTACTCTTAAGGTTTTTTTGTAATCTTTTCAAAACATATAGGGAATTTACAAAAAGACCACTTATCTTTTTTATATAGAATTAACAATTATTCTTACTCATTAAATGTTAAATTGGATAACTTAAGGTGAGTCACAAAGTCCGAGAATTTTTCTTTTGAAACTTTATGTCTATTCATTATCACTCATACACCTGCCCATTCTTTAAATTTAAGGAACAATAATGACATCCATGTATAACAATAAATTCCTTTGTAGACAATCCCAATATATAAATACCTCAAACCATGTCCTAGACCTAAATTTTTAGGCATGTCCCAATGCATATTTAATCACATCGCTAACCTGAACACTTTTTATTTTGGGATTGTATACAATGGGACCATTTACCTTTCATACATGAAGGTTACAATTACTTACAACTATCTACTGTGAAATCTGATAGCTTGGACGTATCATAAAATTCGAAAAATTTTCATTTGAATTTTGAGCATGGTCAATAAAAATAATTGCAGCCACTCAATATTACATCCAATGGTCAAGATAAATTGTGACCACCTTGTACCAAAGGTATATGGTCTCATTTATACTTCTTTTTTAGTTTTGCATCTATCCCCTTCAAGGAAAGTAATAAATGAAAATTTTGCTTTAAACCTAGGTTTTTAGCACCTACCCCAGCTTGTGAATTTAAAATGAAGCTTGTCGAAACTTATTGTCCTGTTGAAATCGGTCTAATACATATTTTGTCAAGCCAGCTTCATTTTAAAGAATGAAGCCAGTCCGGCAATAGTGCATTGGATTGGCTTTTCGCCCCTATTAAAGTCAATCCTACACCTAGTGTCCCAGGCTGGCTTAATTTTTTTTTCCAGTCGATTGAGAGGTGTACCAACAATAGAGGAGGATAGGGGACATTTTCATCTTAAAATTTTTTTTTTGTCACTTTGAAGTGTGTGCTAAAATAAATAATTTTGAAGTTAGTAATGTGGTATAAAAAGTGTTGGGGGTAGTCTATGCCTTAAAAGTTGGCTCAAGGGGTTTCTATAATTTTCCATTTGATAAATGCCCAAGGAAGTGTAGGTAACCATGTCAAACTTAAACAATCTGACAAATAGCACCTTGTGGACTTTTTGTCGAAATACGTAATTTTCGTGTTGACAGACGTTAGGGTAGCATGAAAATCTATTCCATAGCTTGAAGTGCCGACTTTCGAACTTATCTTATTCCCTTGAGCTTAAATATGGAGTCATTTCCTTTTGACATGATTCCTTAACCCCCCAACACCTCCCCCTCCCCGGGTCCTTTTTTTTTTCAAGTCTAGCATAGTTATGTTTTATCTGATTTCAGAAGTACTGATCTTGTTCTCCACTACCTTAGTTTGATAAGCCAAGTTGTTCAGAGAAGTGTGAAGGTCAAGTAATATCTCTTTTACTTGACCCATGCCAAACACCTGAAATTTATTCCTCTGGGATTTGCTTGCTTATATGCTCCCATAAAATTGTGTTCAGACTAATGTCTATGGATGTAATCTCTATGGAAAATTATGTCCTTCTATAAGTGTGTAAACCCTTTGTTGGCCTACCCGCGGTAGTTAGTAGTAGAACTTTGTTTCAACAGGTTCGGTTTAAGCTTCATATCATATGCTGTGGTCTCGTTTTCATTTTTTGTTTCTTCCTTTAGGCATCTGCCTGATGCATTAAATAGATATCAGGTATATGAGGTAATTGTTACTTGGAAAGAACAATGTTTTTATTCCTGATAGACACCACATTAATGCTAGAGTTAACATAGATGGTCTAGTTTGCTTAGACAATATGGATGAAGTTCCATATTTTTTCCTTTTTGGAGAGAAGATCCACATGTAATTTTTGCTTAATCAGTCAGGGGTGTATAAGAAACACATTTGGAAGTATGCCTGTGTACATAAGAATATTTTTCATATAAACATGTAGAAAACATGGGCGTGTATGCTCTATTTGTGTGCATCTATATGTATCTATTTGAACATAAGGTTCACGTCTTCTTCTTCTTCTTTTTTCTGTTTATTGGAATATGTAAATTAGCTTACAAGATATATTATACGTAATATGCTTACATCATTTATATTTATGCTTATTTACATGTATTATTTACATTTGCCTATCACACTGTTACACATGCTTGCACATCTATGTGTGCATATTCTCTACGAACCTAAAGCACACTGAAATGAAAATCCAAGATGATGCAGATGTATTTATGTGCATTTGTATGTCATGTAGCTGTGTTAGTCTTGATGTGTTATCACTGGTGCAGTGCCTCCTTGGCTTGTAGAAATCACAAGAAGAATATGCAACTGGACAGGATTGTTTCCTTCACCAATCAATCATGTTCTTATCAAGGAGTACCTATCTAACCAAGGAATCATGGTCTCTAAAGTTTTCCACTCTTTGTTATGAACATTTTCCTCTTGATTGGTTATTCTATGCTCTCCAATTACTTAACCAAAAGCACACTGCTTAATTATATGATTTTTTAGTCAGCATGTATATTAATTCTATACTCAAGTTTTCTTCTTTCTCAGCCACACCAAGATGGCCCTGCTTATTTTCCAATTGTTGCGATTCTGTCTCTTGGGTCTCCAGCTGTGATGAATTTCACTCCTCCGTTGAAGTTGACTGAGTGTGTAACCCATGTGCCAGATCAAATAGATAAACACTGCACTCTCTCTGTTGCCTTGATGCCTTGCAGCTTGTTAATTTTCAAGGACAGTGCATACTCCGGTACGGCTTTACTTTTATGAAGTTATTCAATGATTTATTTGGGATTAAAGCTAAAAGCTTTTTGTTCTTTCTGGTAAATAAGTTATCCTTTCTTTAGCTGAATATAGTAGTGTAGTTATCACAGTAGATAAGTGCTTGAACCCTCGGGTGACTCGCAAGTCCACTTGTAGTTGCCTGAGTCACCTGGGCTTGGTCGGGTGCTGAGTTCAGAAACATGCACATGGGAACTGCCAATGGCCGAGTTTTGGCCGGTCTCATTATCTTAATTTTTTGACAGACACGGTCTAGTCTGTCTGACACAACTTAAGAGTAGGGAGCCTTCCGACTTCCCCGGATTCGTTTTCCTAGCAATAGAGTAGGGTAACTTAACGGTTTGGTTCTCTAATTTTTCAGAATATTTGCATGGAATTGATGACTCAGATATACAGAGAAGTGATGAGGCAAGTCCATTTTCTCCCTTGAAAATCTTCTATTCTGTTGTTTCTCGCCATGAGGGAACCATTTGGGAGTAGTTATTCATTCATTCCAGAAAAAGATTTAGGGTTCCTGTGGGATCACCAATCCACTCTTTCACCCCAAAATTCTCAATTCATTCTTCGCATCTAGATTATAAATTTTTTTCCCCAAAAAAAAAAAGAATATTTGATTTGGAGCTCAAAAAATACCCCAAATTAGTTCACACTCCATGATATCTAGAGTATCCATTTGATGGATGTTCAAAATTCAAATCTAGGGTTTTAGGATTTATTTACTTTACTTGTTCACAAGGTGAATCAAATATCATTTCAAAATCTTCACATCAGAAGTCTAGAGTGGTCCTAGAGGTCCCCAAAATTGCAAGCTTCATACATTGAATTTGTTTATTTTTAGTTTCAAAATCTAGGGAGTTCAATGCTGCAGCATCACACCTTACAAATTAAAGTTAGTCTTTTTTTCTCACAAAATTTCTTAATTAGGTGCCTAAGAGATATTGTGGATTTATTTTACTTTCTTTTAATAATTTCTTCCTTTTTTAAATTTGGATATTAGGTGGTGAATATTGGTGACATTCTCAGCTACAAGGAACAAATGATGCCCTTGAGCTCAGAGTTGGAGGAAGGGAACCAAAGAACTGAGAAGGGTAGCATTCATAGAAGTGGTACTCGAGTGTCGTTAACCTGTCGACTAGTTCCAAAGGTTTATAAGAATCTCTTTAAGTTCTAGGTGATCAACAAATATGTATCTTTGGTGTTCAATGAAAGTTTTGATTAAGGGTATATTGCAAGTCTATATTACATAGACACAAATATGTGTCAGCATTTGACATATATATGAGGTCAGAAATGTCAATCTTAAAATTAGCTTTTACACACCTATATATATATATATATATGAAGTAAGGGAACTTAGGACTTTAAGTAACATTAAGGAGTTTCATTGTGAGATTTAATGTATGGGTGTTTAAAATGTAGTGTTGTCTGACCCATGTCCATGCAGCATATGTACATGTCAATGCTAGTTTCTAAGCAATTTGTTGACAGTAATAAGCTATATAAGCATTGAAACATTTCCCATTCTACTTAAAACAGAATCAAAGATCCGAAAGAAAAGAGGTATTCATATATTTATTTATTTTGATAAATGAGTTTTGAGATGATTCACTGGGTTTTTTTCTCAGCCATCTTTGGTAGTCTTCTTGCAAAATATTTCTTGAGACCATATGATAGACCATGTCCTCAAGTGCAATTTGATAGAAATCTTGGGCCTTTTTGGACAAAACCATTGGTCTTATTTATTTCCCACCAAACCAATTAGGAGTTAAAAAAAAATTGCTTGGTCCTCTGCCATTCAAGGTATTGATTTTGCACTTGAATTTTAAGAGAACATGCAAAATTGTCAATCCCAAATAGCTGAGATAAAGTTCAGATGAAGATGATGTAAAATTATTAATACCAAAAAAACTGTCTTTCATTTTTAGATAATTCATTCCTGAATAGATTTGTTAGGTACCCCACACGGGGTCTAACTATTGTGAATACTTCTAGTCATTTGTTATTTTACAAAGTTGTATGTATTATATTTTTGTAAATAAATATTGTATGTATTGTATTTTTGTAAATAAATACAAATTTCACGAACAATTGAAATGATGGCATTTCACATGGTTTATGATATTTAGAGAGCAAGTGTACGGGTAGAACGACCAGTTTTTTTTTTTTTTATATGTTTTTGGGG